ATATCTGCGCGTTCTCGATTCTCAGAGTCCTAACGGACCTCCGAGAAGGAGTACGGGAAACATCCGAATCCCGACGCCCTCTCCCGAGGCGAGAGTTCGTCACGATCTGGTTGAGAACCTCCAGTGCTGAAGCATTCTCACCATTCCTGATGAAATCTCTGACCTGCTTATTCAGCACCCTATCGGGTGACATCGTCAGGAAGGCGTCCACCACCGAACTCTCCGGCAATTCCACCGAGCTCGCAGCAGCTCGCTCCGCCGACTGCAATCCGATCTCACCCCCTTCAGGCTTCTTCGCCATCGCCTTTGAGGCTGTCAAGGGCGCAACCGCGTCCTTTGCCGAAGATCTACCAAGCGCGGAGTGAAGATCATCTCCACTTGCCTCTCTCGCTGCCGCACCTGGCCTGCTGTCGACATCATCAGGTCTCTTTGATGCCTCCCTTCCTTTCTCTCTTCTGCCCCTCAGCCGAGCCTCGACTAGCGCCGGGAGCGTCCTCTCCGCTTACCTTCTCCTTCTTGACTTCAACCTTCGGAGCATGCTTCGTCTCCTTAGACTCAGCCTTCGGAGCCTGAGCACTCTTCGCCTCAGGAACTGAAGCTGCCTTTCCCTTGTCATCTTAGCCTTCGCACTTGGCCGGGCTCCTTCAACCGCTATCGCGACCCAAGTCTTCTTCGGTTGAGCCGCAGGTGCATCAACCTCCATCGGAGCCGGCCCAGCGTCGGCCTTGGCTTTCGCCTTCGGAACGGCAGGACTATCGCCCTTGCCTGGCCCTTTTCCTGATGCCTCGCTTGACTTTGGTTGTGAGTTGGAAGGACTATCGCCCTTACCACCCTTTTCACCCTTCTTCCCTTTTCCTTTCCCGCCCTTAATGATCGGCTCCTGTTTTGGACCAGGACCCTGTGCAGCGTGATGCACCGACTGGAGCTCGTCAACGTTCACATCCAACGGCTCCGGTTGACGACCATCAAGAACCGTCCTCACCCTATCGTCACTAACGTAGACGAATGGGTCACGGAAAGGGGCAGGAGGCTCTGATTGACCAGCATTGATTGTTTTCTGCACTTTGGCTACCGCCTCCCTCAATCTTCTCTTCTCGTCGTACCCCGTCGCCGAGACCATGTAGTTCCTGAGGTCCGCCATCAATCTATGGCTAGCCAGGATGTCTGCATCCTTCCTATGGGTCGGGTACATGGGAGTCAGGTGACCCGCTGCAGCACCAATCACGTACGCCATCGGGATATAGAAGGACAAATACGTGTCATGACGGGCGAACTTCCTAACGGAAGTCGTCATACGTCTTCCTGACTGGGCCGCATGCACCGGATTCGCTCGGAAGTACTCAGTCACCGACTCAAATCTATCGACTTGGTTGGTTTTGATCAGGTGCTTCGCCACCCACTTCTCCACGAATGCATCCGAGGCCGAAATCCCCGACACGTAGGAAAACTGAAAGAGCACCTTTGCCAGTTCATCCCACGCCGCATCAACTCCTCCCTTATCCTCCCCAAGATAAGGGGGCAACCGGATGCCGCTCTGCACTGTCATCCTCAGGTCAGACGCCATCGAGTAGGAAATCAAGTTCCTCTTGATAACCCCGACCACATCGGAGGCGATCCTCTTGGGCTTGAACTGTCCCATACTCTTCACCCAGTCCGGGACGATGCGGCTCCCCGCGAAGTCCCCTTCGTCCGCGTTGGGGATGAAGTTCGGGTAGAAGACCGGGAGTGCACATCCAGGGCACAAGTGCATCCCAGATGGCGTTATCTCCGCGCACCGCAGACAGAAGGTGCTAGTCACATTCAACCTGACTTCCGCACGCGCCCGCTTGTGAATCCCCCTATCGGGAGCGAAGTCACCGTAGTCCCAAGCCCGATGATACACTATCGTGTAATCATCGAACATGCACGCAGCCTTCCACGCACCCATGTGGATCTCGTCCCGAACGGCAAGAGTCTTCCTCCTTCGTCAGAAACACAGGTCCAATCAGCGACCAATGTACTCGAAGGTCCACCATGACCACCACGCACCTACCCGAGTAGTTCCGCAGCCTGTCCCTGACGTACCCGATACCTTGGCATTTGGTCTCATAGTCTCCACAATTGCAACCAGGCCCTCATCCGGCCTCCCATCTCCATCGATTCGTACTCATCGGGCCTTGTGATCAATATCTCGATCATGGCCTTTCCATTCCGCCTCACCTTTTGACCTTTTGGAGCTGGACCGCCTTCCTGAAGTCCAAGAACTTCATTACAACGTATCCCGCCATAGGAATTTCACCCCAGTGCATCTCATACATCAGAGACCCGCCAGGGGCATCCTCTTGAGTGTACCTTTGCCTCACGGAACTGAAACTCATGTCCCGTCCGATCCGCGTATACCTAACGGCCACCAACCTGGTGCATTCCTTGAGGAGGATGCCATTCTCATCATACATGATCATGAACATAACCTCAACCTGCCCTATCGGGAAAGCCTTGATCGCCGGGATGAAGAATTTCC